TCGCCCCAAATCTTCTGAATACGCACTCTTCGTATGCCTCAGCAACATCTTGGGCTTCGGTATTCCGCATGGGTTTACACATGACATATCCTGAGAATTGATATTGGAACAGCAACAAGTAGGTATTTCCACGATCCGACTCAGGTAGCTCAGTGACAAAGTCCATAGAGACCACCTCGAACGGATATCTCGGTTCGATATTGCCAGGTGACGGGCCAATGACCGGTGGTCGCCCCTTGGCTGACGCACAATCTACACACTCTCTCACGAACTTCTGTACGTCAGCCTACATCCCGATCCAGTAGAACTCTGAACGTAATCGCTCAAATGTCCTGTTGATTCCTTGGTGTCCGCCTTGGAAGTCTTCGTGCGAGTAATGTAACATGTCGGCACGTAAAGTCTCTGGGACTACCAACCTGAGTTCCGACTGCTTGTTGCGAGGTCTCTCAGGAGTGGGTGTGCTCAGCCTGTAGAGGACTTCTCGCGAATCCAGCACAAACTGATCGGAGACCCCCGCAATCTTCTTAATCTGGTTCCGTGGAAGATCTGATACGTCCCCTTTTAGGACCTTCTTCATTTGCTGAATCCACACATCTTCGTCTTGGTGAACCTTGATTCTCCTCCACCGTTCATCCTGATACCCGGACTGGTCTACAGGAGTTCGAGAACCTACGCCCGCTTCTGTTCGTGACCTCGTCATCACCATCAATGCTTCTGCAGCAGTAGCTAAGGACTCTGGTATCCCGACATCAGGGCTATCCACTCCGAGTCTTTTTGGTCCGTGCGAATTGCGTCAGTCGCAGGGGTACTTGGAAGTTCTGAAGGCTTCATGATCTTTTCAGGGATCCTGGATACGAGACGTAGATGCACTATCTCATCGGGGTCATTGAGTTCCCAGTATTCTCCGAGCACGAGAGTCTTAGAGGTCAGGTAATCAGCTGCCTATTTAAACTCACGTTTAACATGAATCAACTTAACTGACACAAAATCCTTCCTGAGATCCTCATACTCGGCTAGGCGTCGTTGCAGATTGGGCTGGTTGCAATTGATCAGACCCTGAGCCTGCTGAACGACGATTCGAGAATCACCGACTGCCACAAGCTCCTTGACATCATACTTCATAGCGAGCTTTAGTCCCAGAATCAGACCATGGTATTCAGTGTCGTTGACCGTCACACCTTCAAGGATGTGTCCCTCAGTTTTTACAACCTGCCATCCTGGCAGCTTCCACAGTATGCATCCACAACTTCCTCGGCGAGTAGAAACCTTCGCAGCGCCGTCAAAACTCAGAACGTAACCTTGGTAGTCTGCTTCCAACATTTCCAGACTCATTGGTGGCATCACTTTCAGACGCCCCTTGGCGGGAATCAGGGTTTCTGCAACTTCATCTAAATGTTCCCTGGGAGTAATACCAGACCCAAGGATGGCCGCAAGGCCGTCCTCATCTTTCTGCGTCCGATGGATTTCCAGTGTCCATCTTGATAGTTCCAGCCCCCACTTCAGATGTCGTCCATCTGCAGTGTTGGATTGTAGTAACCACTTTAGTACAGAATAGCGCGTATACACCACAACTGGGAATTCTGATCCATGGATCAGAGGTCAGAAAACTTCCAGAGTCCGCATAATTGCGAGCACTTCCTTCTCAGCTATGTGGTCACGTAGCTCGGATTCCTTCAACACTCT